GGTTTGTTTAATCAATGTATGTAAGGTAGCATGAAAACAATAGTATAATGTCAGTAATGGAGAAAAGAGGACAATGCTCCAATTGCATGATGTATTCTGGTTTGCTGTCACACATACAGCAGCATCAGGGGCTTTTTTGTTTTTGTTTTTTTAATTAATGATTCCATTTATGTTCTTTACACACATAACATTCCAGTGACTAGGGCCTTTGATCCAAAGATACACCTGCACTGTGGTGGCAGAATGCTCAGTCGAGGTGTTAAGGCACACTGCATAAATCATTCTCATGCCATGTTCAAGACTTGGGGTTCCAGCAAGCTGAAGAGCAATGGTCTACTCTTCTCCCTGCAGCTTCCTCACAGCTTCATTTCCAGGACTGGTGTGAGCCGAGCAGGCGTGATGGGTAGACTTCTTTCCTTGACAGCCTGATTGAATGGGGAATAGATTTGGTTGAAGACCAGAATACCTGTTCTGTTGAAAATTCTGAATGATTTTTGTTTCAAATTGGGATGAAACCTTGAAATTTCCAAGTTCCTAAGGAATAAGGCATGGAACATAATAAAATGTGGAAATGAAATGTCATTTCTGTATTATCGAAGTATTCTATTTTAATATGGTGAACTCATTTTATTTTGCCTTGGCTTTTGTTTTGCCTGTTGATGGTTCAAGAATTCTCTAAAAAATTTAAATTGATCACATGTAATATGTTATTAAGTATTGCTTTCTGAAAAAATGGAGAAGTAGCACTGAACTGAGGATTAGGCCTCTCAAATTTAGCTAAAATCCAGGGAGTGCAGGCAGATAGCAGGGTGTGTGACATCCAAAAACCAGCCACCCAGAGGGTTTGATAAGCATCTGCTCCCCAGCTGGGAAGCTAACAGACCCCTCAGCCTTAGAGTCAAGTAAGCTGCTTAGCCATGAGTCAGGCACGCAGGGAATCCAAAAAGCTGGGTAGCCTCTCCATCTACCAGGTTTGAGAACCACTGTGGAAACAGAGAAGCTTGGTTTCCTACCGAGAAGCTCAGGTGGGCTGACTGATGGGCTGTTGACAGGAAACCAACTAGGCAAAGTTGGCAGGCCAGCCAGCCTGGCTTCCATTGGAAGGTTTGGCAGAATCATTTTGTTCCTTTGAAATTATTTTGATTAAACTGACTGAGCATTTGCTGATGGAAGACTGACCTTTACGGAGACATTTAACAAGTTCTCCCAGCATGGTGCTAAATGGGGAGGAGTAGTCCCAGGGCTGGTGTGGGAGGCATTTGGAAGAGTTCCCAATGTCTATTGAAACAGCTTGCAAAGCCGGCTCCCTAGAGGTGCTGTTTCTCAATGGGTTTGGACACTGTCATGTGCAGTGTTTTCTTCTTTTGTCTTTGTTTCCTGCACTTCTGTTCTCTCCCAACCAGCTTGTCATTTCTCTGCTCATGAGGAGCCTAGGCCTGTGGTCTTGAGACTTCGTACTGCTGCCTAATGGCATTGGAGCAGATGCACCAATGGATGCCAGGCACCCTTCATTCACAGCACCTGAAGGGCAGTCCATGCCCACTAATTGTGCTGCCATGTATTGGGGCATGCAGCCTTTTGCATCAGTGAGTGAAGTCTTGTTCTTTTTGCTAATGGGCAGGGGGTTCCAACAGTGTTATATAGCTCGGCCAGTCTGTAGTTATGAAAAAAATGACTTTCTGGGTGGATGCCAGGGTTGAGGGATGAGAGAATGTGACTGCAGCCCAAAATGGAGGCCATATTGCTGTCTTCCTTCTTTCCCTTGGTTTTCCTCCCTCTCATGCTCATGTCATGGTCTGCAGGGGGGCTGGCTGGAATGGTGGCATGTTCCATCATGGTTCTAACCTACCTCAAAGATGACCTCCCTCCTGCCAGTAGCTAGCTCACTGCTGGGGTAGGTCCGTTTGGCTTCCTTCAAGGCAGCTCTTTCTTGGCCTAACCTGGTTGTGTTTTCTGGTCTATGCAGTCAGACACAGAGCCATCCAGCACACGTCAAGGTATGCAAGTGAGTAAGAATAAAGATTCTGGCCTTTTGTCTTTTCCACAAAGACTCAATACAGTTTCATAGTATCAACTGGCTTTTGTGGAGTAAAATGCAAGAATCTGTAACTGTCCTATCACTGATTGAGTCCCTTCTTAGTTAAACCAGGGCTTCTATCTTCCAGACACATTGCAGAGCTGTGAGAGCTGGGTGCAGCCAAAACATCCTTGTCCATGGGTGGGGGTAGCAAAAGGGTCTCTATTGCAGGGGGGCTTCAGTAACTGCACCGCCTCTTTGACCCCTGCTTTGTCCTGTTCTGGTGCCCATGTTTCTAAAAGGAGATTAACTGGATCAGATTCAGAATGATTCAAGATCTGGAAAACTTACCTTCCACTGAAATATTGATGGATCCAAATGGCTTTAGCCTATGGACAGTGAGGCCATGTGATCATGGTCTATTATACATAAATCAACATTTCTGATAAGAGGAGGATCTAAATTAAGCAAACAGTGGCAGAGTATAATCCAGTGGCTGGAAACTGAAGCTAGACTATGTATAAGATGCATCTTCTTTTTTCTTTTCTTTTTTTTAAGGGTGAGGTTGACTCTATTGAAACAACTGCTTAATGAATGCACTTGAGTCATCCTCGCTTAAAGGCAAGAGTAGGTGTCTGAAAGAAACACATTCAAGCAGAAATTATAGGCTTAGTACAAGATTTGCTGGTGAAATACTCTGACCTGTGATATCAGTGACACAGCTAGGAATGGAAATGTGAATGAATCCCAACTCGAGACAGACAAGTTTAAAAACAAAGTTCTGATTTCACCATGGAACATTTATATGGCAAAAGATTTAACATGTTAAAATGCTGAATACAGGAAATGCAGTTTTGTGTGTCTTATGAACAGGCTGCATGGTTTGTAAAAGGAGGAGGAAAAGTAACAAGCCAGTTGAATTTTACTTCAAGTTGACATCACATAGGCTCAGACCTTTTTGTACTAAGCAAGAGATCAGCCTAGATGACGGAACAAGTCTGTGACATGGGCATAGTTGCTCTCCTAGTCTTGCTCTCCTTGTCAGCAGAATAGTCTGATTTCACAGTCCTCCCTTAGGCCAAGGTTCAATCAGCTAGGGCTGTGCTGGTCGTTTGCACTGTTGAATGGCTATGCTCTAAATTATCTTCGTGCCCAAATATCTCTTGCAGGCTGAGTTCCCTCTCTGAGTCTGGAATGCCCTTGTGTCGGATATACCGAGCTTTCCTGGCTTCAGCGTACAATTGAAGAAAGCTTGGTCTGGTGTGCATAGTCCTGAAGTGGCTCTCGCGGGCAAAGGCCTCTGTATCAAAGACCCGCTTCTCATGGACGAGGGAATTCTTTCGTCTCCCTGTGTAGGTAGAGGGCTTGGGCATCACGTCACCGGCAACTGTGTCACTGGCCTCAGCCTTTCCAGTGAGCACTGCTGCGGCCTCTTCCTCAGTACCCTTTGCTTCATCTTGCTCTGCTGGCATAGCAGAAACACTCAACCGCTGGGCAATAGAGTGCCTGATGTCAGAGAGGTTGATGTCTGTGAGGAAGCTTCCAGCTTTGGCCCTGGTGACTGTGTGGATTGGTCCACGTTTCCAGGAGAACAGCTGTCCTGCACCATCCATGATATCACTGTTGCCTGTCTGATGTTGCAAGGCTGATTCAGCCACCAAGGTGAGCCCACCAGGCTTGGGCAAAGCAGCTTTTGATGCTCTAGAAAGAAGTAAAAAGAGACGCAAGGAAACCTGCGCAGCCACCGAACAAGCAACATGCTCTTAACCACATTCCTTTGGTTCTCAAGCAGATTCCAGGGGCTGCGAGGCTGCTGCTGACCGCAACAGGACCCTGGTGCCGAGTTACTCCAGAGGGTAACATCAATGAAAACTTCCCTGTCTCAGCTCTCACAAGTCTGGTTCAGCTCATACGAGCTGCAAGTTGTTTCTGTCAGCCAGCGAAAGGAAACCAGATAAAAACCCTTCAACAAAAAGGGATTTGGGGCAAAAAAACAATTGGGGATTTATTAATATATGGTAATATGTAGATAAGCACACATATTAATATAAACTTTTTTGCAAGGAGATTTTTTGTTTTTAATTGTACTTTCCTCTTTTGGGAAAAATAACATTTCTTTAAAACTAGACAGCATGGTAGTTTCTAAATCTTTCTTTAAAAAAAAAAAATACTGTAAAATGTTTTTTTTATTCTCCCTTTCATTTTTATCCACTTGGGGAAAGTAGCACTTTCTTGCAATCTTTGACCTTCTCTGCTGGAAAATGTGAGAGAGTGTACAAAAAGTAAGAATAAGAAGGCTGGGTGGGGGAAGGGCATTTATATAGTTTTTCTTTCTCCTCTTATTTTTACTTTTTTTTCCTTGTTCTTTTTTGGTGTCACTCATTGAAAATCCAGGATCTCTTTTTTTTTTCTTTATCTTTTTCACTTCAAAATGACCTTAGCTTTGACAAAGTTACAAATTGACCACCAGGTCTTGCTTTTCTGTTTGCTGCTCTGTTCCTTTGACAAAGTTGAAGTTTTAAAGTTACAGTGTAGAAAAAGGACAACAAGGAAAAAAAAAAAAGGGAGAGGGAAGAGTGACCCAGAACCCAAACAACCCCAGACATTATTGATTTTATTGCAATTGGGGGCAAGGGGGGGAGTTAAAAAGTATTTGTGGTGGGGATGACTGAAGGTGCTGTTTCCAGAGCTGCTGGATTGTAAGGGAAGGCTTCATTGCACCTGGCTTTACCTCAGTCGTTCACCCTCGGTGCTGCTCTGGTGCTCTCCTATCGAAGAAGAAAGTGTAGGCAGAGTTGCTTTTTTACCAACTGCCCTTGGGAAATCTGCAATCAAATGAGCCACCTTCCTGGACTTGCCTAAGAAGCAGAGAAACAGGTTGCTAATAATACCGGGAAGAAGTCCTGGGGCATAAATCCACCCCTAGAAACAGCCTCTTTTTAAAAATTAATAAATACTGCCAATACTGTCTCCTCTCCCCTTCAGCCATCTCCCACCCACACTATACTGGCCAACTTTCTCACTGTCTTGCCCCATTCTCAGCTTTCTGCTTTTCCCCACCATCCCTGCAAGCCTAGCGCAGCCTGCTGGTTCTTACTCACTAATTGTTGTCTCTACTGTCCTTCCTTAAAACCCAGCTACCCCTTCCCTGCTCCTCCCCTCCTCAGCACACTCTAGGCTGGGCCTATTGATTTGCCTTGTCCATCCCAGGCCTTCAAGGCATGGAGCATGTCCAGCTGAATGTGAAGGGGCAAGAACATTTGTGGAAGCCCAAAAGGGCCTTTCAAAATAAAATTATAATACTTAACAGACAGGCCCAGCTAATATATTTATGTTAAGTGCACCCCATGTCCATTGTGCCACAGACCAATTCCTCACATTAAAGCTAACTACAGTGCAGAAAACCTAGCATGTTCACATGCTCTAAGCCACCCCAAACACCTGGATGCAACTGGTCTGAAAAATACTCATTTATAGTGACTGTCATAAAATTGACACCCTGGTCACCCTTCCCTTCCCCCCATTTTTCTTCTCAGAGGGGAGCATTTTCATCCTCCAGCAGCTTAAAAGAGCTGTAACATGGACCCATGAGACCATGAACAACTCATGCCTCCTGAGGCTGGGGGGGCAAGGTGACCACCTGCAGGTGGCAGCAGCGGTGTTGGTGGCAGGGAAATAGTGGCGGTGAGCCAGGACTGACCTCAGGCCTCCAAGGCGGTGTTGGCCGCAAGGGGTGGGGGTGGCGAATGACAACTTCCCATAGACGCCAGTGGCCGCATCAGCAGCAGCCAATCTCAGTGGGGGCACGTGCCCCCCCTACGTGTCACCTATACATAAGACCACATAAGCCACGGTTGGAAAGACATGCAGCTGCAGTCAGGTGGAGGGGCCCTGTCTCTCTTGACATGCACAAGCTCTGCGGGAGAAGAAAGCTACTGTTTCACTGCCCTGAGAAAGATCCAGGTTCATGATTCAGACACTGTTCACAAAGATCACTCCCCAGGGGCTTTTCAACTAGCCCTTTCTCTACCCTTGAGGTCTGATCAACACTACACAATTTTGTTGGGATTACTATTTTGACTAGGGGGTGTGAAAGTGTGGATAATGCTTCTCAGCCAATGTAGCTAATCTGGCCAACGCCCTAGTGCAGCTGCAGCAATACAGGAATGGGGCTTCTGCTGGTGGGTGGTGCATAGTCATGATGTTGGCAAAAACACTTTTTCTGCCATACATGGAGTCTCTACTAGACTCTGCTGACATAATCTATCTAGGCTCTGCTGCTATAACATATCACATTTATCCAAGTCCAAGGTGACTCTGAATTTAAGATGGCCCTCAATAATTAGATTCTATACGAGGAAAAATATAAATTTGTTTTAATTTTCTGTGTATAGAATCTAATTATTAGAGGATCATCTTAAATTCAGCCTCCACATGACTGCAGGGGGGGGAAAGCAGTGTGTGGGGGGCGGGGTCAAGCAGCCTGACCCCTGCCCCTTGACCCCCCAACCCCTTGCCCCTTGCTGCCGCCCCCCCTGCCTTCCTCCTAGTGCCTGGCCCCCAGCCTGGCTGCCCCTGCTGCTTTCCCCACCATCCTGTTGCCTCTTCCCCCTCCCCACCCCTGACACTTACCCTCCAGCACCAGCCCAGCCTGGTAGCAGTGGCAGTGGTGGCAACTCCAGCCTGGGCTCCAGGGTCTGGCTAGAGCTGCCACCTCTGCAGCTGGGCTGGAGCCTTTGGCTGAAGCCATGCCAGAGCCAGAGGGGAAGCAGCAGCGGGGGTGGGGGGGGCAGAGGAGGCCGTGGGGAGTATAGTTGGAGGGGCAGGCAGCAACTATGGTTCTGGCCCCAACCTCAGCTGCCACCCCTTCCCCCCGCCCCCCCAGCTTGAATCCAAGACAAGTGATTTTGTTTCCCCATGTTAAGGCGGGGAGGGATGGACGCACTCATTTTGGATTTGAGGAAACTTGGCATTCCCTTGAATATAAGATGCATTTTAAACACACACACCTTCTAAAAGGAACCTTCATCTTCAATGTGAATTAGAAGAAGTAAAAAAGCTCTTATATGCACCATAGAGGTGGTAGCCTTATAAATATGTCTTCATTTGGGTTTGTTTTTTCTTTAGTAGAATGAGAAAACTCAGGTGTGTCTTATAGTCAAAGGAGTATGCTAGCTCCACCAATACAGCTATAGTAGTAGCAGCTTTATACAAGCCTCTCTTGCTTTCCCCATGCTCCCATTTCCCCTTGCAAGGGCTTTGTGTATTGACCTTACCTTGCTGCAGCCTCACCAGTTCTTTCTGAATCTGCCTCTGCTCTTTGACCATTGAGTTCATTTGCTGGACTCGTGTTTCCTCTAAGTCCTGCAGCCCATGGCTGAGCCTGGCTTCTGTTCTCTTGATACTCCGTCTGTCCAGCTCCCAGCGTCTGGACCAGTCTCCCTCTGCCATGAATGGCTTTGAGTGATTCATGATGCTCCCAGCAGCAGAAGGCAACCCAAAGATGCTGTCGTTCAATGGTGCTCTTCTCCAACCCTGGAATGTCCCAGGTCATAGGACGGCAACAGAGGAAGGAACCTGAAACAGTATGAGGTAAGCAGGATCAAGAGCACTTTGCCTTCTGATAACATCTCCCATGAGAAGACCTGCAAATTAAGAGGCCTTTATTTGCTCTGCACTGCAATGATGCTATCACCTCTGTTTTGCTTCTAAGACAGCCAAGTGGTACAGCAATTAAGAGACTTACCCAAGACCAAACTGCAGGCTGGTATCTCAGGGTTGGTGCCTTAAAGAACCTTGCCCCAAATACTTTAATCCCTTGAGGGAGAGTTTGGGAGCCTCAAGCATGGATGGATTTAGGGTCACTGTTCTGAAAGCAGCCTCTTTCATGGGCCTTGTTCCCTGGGCACCAATCTCACCATTCCTGAGACATGCCCTAGGGAAAGGAAGGTTTTCGGGAATGAGATTTTAAATGCACAAACCTGTAATGTTCCTGAGGTCTGATCATTGCAGCCATGCTAACCCTCTGCCTTCCTGGTACCATCTGAAGGGGCTGCCTTAGCAACACGCTGGACTCTCCAACCAGCAAGCTGGGAAAGCTACTCTTGCCTTTTTTGCAGGATCTCTGCCAAGGGGACATTCCAGCCTCTTATCCCCCAGTGACAGACAGCTTGCCCCAATTTCTCGGGAGGGTGATATGAAAGCCCTGCTGCAGCTACAGAACTGTTTTCTTTTCCACTTGTTTGTAATGCAGATTTCCTGAGTGGTGGCAGCACACATTATCCTTATCAGTACTGCTCCAGACTACTCCAGGCTAGCTACCAGCTTGGTTCACTCTATTTTGGCTATTTTTAAAGTACCTGCCATCTTGTGAGGTGTGTGGGCTTATTAATCTTTTCCCTCCCTTTGTCAAGGAAAAGCAAAGACTGTTTTCCTGAAGAATAAAAGGCTACCTTCTCAGCATTAGTTCTTATCATTAGTTATATGTGTTAAGGCATTACTCTACTGGCCCAGTCAGGCTTATGCATAGAGATCAGAAGTTTTCTATCAAAATGGTCAGCCTTTTGATAGAAAAAGTTTAACTACATGAATTTTTTCACTGGAAGCAGCTGTTTCCCATGGAAAAACTTGGAGTTTCAGTTAAAAAAAAATCATGCAAAGCTTTAGGTTTTCAGCTGAAAACCAAATATTTCCATTTGGACATGCCACTGTGGTGGTTATTTACTGACAAGTGGAGGGAAGTTACAAAAAGAAATGTGTTTAACTTTGTTGTAATTCATAATAGGGAAAAACTCATTTCTTTCAGCCCTATGGTTTAACAAACAGGGCAAGACATCAAATCTTTGTCCTAAGTAGCCCCACTTAAAAGCTCAGAGGCTGAGAGATGGCAATCTGGCTGTGTTTACACCAGATGTTTACTGTAGAGTAGACTAATTAGTTGTGCATTAAATGTTACACATCTATATGTGCACCTCTATCAGGCTGGAGTAAACTAATTAACTCCGCAGCAGGATAGTACTTGTAAATACAACTACTACCTTCCACCGAGGTTTTTACTCCACAGCAGCACATGCATAGATGCTGACACAGCTGGCTAAGGCAACAAGAGTGCTTCAGTGCAAGGGCTGCCTATAGAACTCTCATGCCCCAGCCAGCCCTCTGCAGCCTATTAAGCCAGGGGGACCAGGCCCAGGCTGGCAAGCTGACCCCCAAGCCCCCTGCCAGCCAGAGTTGCTCTGACATGGCTCAATGTGCTGTGGTCCCAGGTGCAAGTAAAGATGCAGCACCCAGGAGCAATAAACTCCAGAACAATATGCTCTGGAGTTTATTCATGTGCATTAATTGCACATGTAGACGCACCCACTGAGGAGTTTTGCAGCTTTGTTCTTTAACCACCAGCATGCAGCTGAAGCTCATGGAGGGTTAGACTGGAAGACCCCATACTGACAAAACCCAGGTAAGTTGATGGGTCTTGGAATATGTGAGAAGCAAGATTGGTATGATGAAGTCATAACTTCTATTAATCTAACTGCATGGTTTGGAGAGAGTTTTGGAGGTAACAAAGATCAGCCTTTGTTACTGGAAGTTAGTAAGTCCTGAGCCCCTCCATGGCTGAAACCAATCTGGGCATAGGGCATTTATAAATGTGCTCTGGGAGGAGGGGGCACTTTAATTAGCACGGCTCCAAGAGCTGAGTTAATTAAAGTTCCTGGAGTATCACGTATATCAGCATCAAACAAGTTCTAGTTAAAATGCCCCACTGCCCATTTTTCAGTGAAGGGACACTGATACATGTGATGCTGGAGTCTGTTGGAGCACAGTAATTACCATGCCCCAGCAGACTTGATTAATCAAGCCTTCTCCAACACACTGTAATTACAGAGCATTGGAGCAGCCTCCCTGCATGTGTGTAGGAGCCCATCGAGACAAGAGTATGGAAGCATGGATTCCTGCCACGTTTTGGAACTAGCAGAATAGATATATGATAGGGCTGTGCAAGGCTTCACCAGCTGTTTCGTTTCAACGCTGTTTCAACTTGTTTCAAGCTCGAAATAGCAAAATCAAAATGAAGTGGAGGGCTTCAAAACAGCCTCGAAACAAAACGAGGTCAATCAAAACCTTTAAAAAGTTTTGAAACGTTTCGAATTTTGAAGCAGCCAGCCAGGTAGTGGGAGGCAGGGGAGAGCCAGGGCTGCACTCCAAGCGGCTCCGTAGCACCATGTGGCTCAGCCTGGTGGGGAGCAGCCCTGGCTCTCCCTGCCTCCTGCTGCCAGATGGAACCAATCAGCATGCAGCGCCGGCTCTGCCCACCTCCTGCCACTGGGCTGTGCTCCGGTTGGCTCTGCCAGCCCCATGGAGCTCAGCCCAGTGGCAGAAGGTGGGCCGAGCCAGCACTGCGCTCCATCGCCTGCCGCCAGGCTGATTTCTGCGGGGCTGCGAGCCACTGGGAACTAAACCCGGCGGGGGGAAGCACCTCTTACCACCAGACTCTGTTCCCAGTGCTGGAAAACTCAGCCTGGCGGCAGGAGGTGCTTTCTCCAGCCTGGCTGAGTTCCGCAGCACTGGGAACGGAGCCCAGTGGCAGGAGACGCTTCCCCCAGCCGAGCTCAGTTCCTTAGTGCTGGGTCCTAGGCGGCAGGAGCAGCATCCTGTGATCCAGCAGGCATATCGGGGGCCTGCCCACGCCCCCGGGAGGGCTGCGGGGGCTCTGCCAGACTCCTCCTGGGGGTGCAGGCCCCCGAGCTGCCTGCTGGATCACAGGGGACTGCTCTTGCTCCCTGACTCCTGCTTGTCAGCAGCCTGAGGTGTAGTTTCCTAGAAATCCCTGTACCTATCTCCTTGAAGCCTGGCAGGCTTCATGCCCTCAGAAGGGACTACCATCCCTGCAAGTTTAATCGGAATTAGGCAAGAAATGACAAAGTTATCGGCTGTTTCATGCTTCCCCATTATAGCCTGTGGGCAAAACATCGACACAGCACTGAAACAGTGAAACTGTTTCAATGAAAAGGAGCAGAACAGTGCTTTTGAAATGAAATGAAACTCGAAATGAAACACTGTTCCATCAAAACACCGAAACGGAAGTCGAAGCAGAACGCTGCTGTTTCGCATGGCCCTAATGTATCATCCTTGTAGCCCCCATGCAAGGAGAAAACCCTGCTAAGAGTCCTGCACTGTCTCAGCAGAATTTGGTCATTTATGTGGATCTTCTCCCAGTCAAGAGATTCCTGGATCTGGGTAAATCAGGAAGTTTGCGGTGGCTCACCGACAGTTTGTTGTTAGAGACAAATACAAGTGCCTGGAGTCACAGAAGCAGTGACATTCACAATAGAATCTCTCAAGTGTCTTCTTTGTCAGCCCTGCAGGTCAACCACCGAGGGTCACCATCAACCATGCTTGTTCTTCCAACATAAACAGCAGGACAAGTTTAGACAGGTTAAATGCTGAAAGAACAGACACCTGCTCCTGGCACCAATCCCACCCGACAAGCGCCCGATTCAGGGAATATATCATGTTAAATGTAGCTCCATTGAGAAAATGAGCTGATTGCCCTGGCTGGTTGAGCATAGCACAGGCAGAGGCCATGGATAGATCCTAGACAGATCTGTCAGAGCACTTTCATTCTGGTCTGCAGCAATTGGCTGCCCCACATAAAGTATTGCTAATGCACCTCAGTCCTGAACCTGTTGCTCTCTTGTTGCTCCAATCTTTCTTTCTACATACTTAGACGTATTATTGTTATTGTGTGCTGAATCAAAACCGCTGTAGAAGCCCCAGTCTTGATCTTATTAGCTCTGGCTCTTCTCATCTTTGGGGGGGATGGTGATGACTCTGAAACTCATGCTAAGCTCGGGCCTACTCACAAAAGTTAAAATACAGAATACTGACGCTAACTGCATAATGCAAGAGGATGTGAGTTCATGGCTAGGCCATCTGAGAAGTATCTCTTCCAGCTTATCTTGCTATATTCAGGATGATTTCAGGCAGACTCCTAGTTGTCTGGTGGTGTGTAACCATATGAAATGTCTATCCTTAATTAATTAGTATGGTAAATATTTCTTTTGCAATTAACTCATGTTTATGTGCAGGAAGAGACATTTTCCATACGTGATAGGTGTCTCCTCCTGATATAGTATGTTTTTCCTGGCTGTTAATCAGTTTCTTGATATGTTCCAAACTGTAACCTCTTGTTACTGAAGAAGGTAACTCATTCAAATTAGAAATTTCTGATAACCAGTGATAAGCAGGTTAATTAACAGGATTTTCCCATCAATTACTGCTTGGGACTTTTTTGATTTACACAACTAAAAGAATGCTTTGAAGATGCTAAGCTAAGGGTATAAAAAGGCAGTAAAACAGCAAACAGCACGCTCTTCAAGAGTCAGAAGTCTCTCTGACACCGGTTGTTAATGTGCCCGACTTACTCGAGAAGTTGAAGAGAAACAGAGCACCTCTTCGTCGCCTGTTTGGTGAGAAATCATCACCTTATAGCTAATTAATGAACTTTGATTTGGTTTGGGCTCACTTGACTTGATTTTAAATACTTGTAGTAAATAAAGCCTTTCTGTCACTCATCAAATGAGGTGTCGTGTCAATCCCTGGGCTAGTCCGCAATCCTAGGTTTGTATTAGCTAACAGATGCGGCCCTGCCTCCTTCCCTCCCCCATATTGAGCCAATACAGCTCACTTCTGGCCTGCATGGCACGCAAGTGGTAACGGTCACTTCAGCATATGAGTGTACCTTTGCTGTTGAGAAGAGTGTTTGCACTGAGCTGATTCAACTGCCAGGGACACAGCTTCACCCTCAGTCTCTATGGCTCAGACTTGGCTAGCAGCTGGACAGGGTATGTTTATAGCAGGGTGCGGTGCTTCTTGCTCGCACATGAGTTGTGCTGTCTAGGATTCTCACAGAGGGATGATACAAGGTTCCTCCTATTTAAAAAAGATGCTGGTTTTCATTCCAGGTCAAGAACTTGTCCCTTATCCAACTTTCCAACATGGTGGAATGACAGTGGACACCAATAATTCCTGTCCCTCCTTGTGGCATAAACAGTTTGCCCTTGTATTCTGTCTGAGCTTACAGCATCCTCCGCACTTCCAGCCCTGGGCTTCACAGCAAGAAGCTCCACCAGTACATGCCAGTCCTGACCTGTGGGCAGTCCCAGCCCAAGATGGTACTCAAGGTATCATTAGGAAACTTCATCTTGCCTTATTTTGAGCCCAAAGCCTTTCTGGTCTCTCCTCACTAGTGCACAGTTGAGAGAAT